CAACCAACCAATCTGTCTCTTAGCTTTTGGTTGGACTTAAAAAGGGATTTGAAATGCACTACAAAAACTTGTTTTTCCTGTGTTTTAACCCTGTTTGGAATTTTCTAAAGAGCTTGAGATGCCCTTTTTGGGGGAGAGAGATTGACAAAATAGAGTCAGCTCCTTGAGGGCCATAGACCCAATGTGCCTAGAGAAGATATAACCAGTGCCCAGGTCAAGGAAAGTTTAGTCATTTCCTTGTCTTTTACCCATGTGAAATTTGAATAGGACATAAGCATATAGACATATAGTGTTATGGGAAAGTGGCAGCAGAAATGTTCCATTTTTCCTTTGAAAATATGATATCCCAGAAGCCCTTTTGGTCACAAATGCCTACACCACCAAACCCCACACCCACAAAAAAAAAAAAAAAGAGGATTACCATGTGGATTTGGGAAAATATCATGCTATTAATTATAAAATATGAATCAGATGATAATATAGGTTGAATCCAAGTTTGAATTTTGAAACATGGGGGAAAAAGTCCAAAATTAACTTGCAACCCTGACCTAGATGCTAAAAAAAGTTAAGGTCTAGATATATTGTATGGTAAAATTACACTTAGTAGTCCTAAATTAGATATTGACACCAGTTTATTCCCTCGGATTATCAAATTCTTAGCATTATACTCAACTATGTTTGTTTCAAATTTACCCAAACCCATGACAAAACTGTGTGTGGGTGTTGTCTGTCCAAAACATTAATTAATTAGCAAACTCAAGAGAGGACAAAGTGGAAAAATCTATAATATAAAATTTAATAAGTTCATCCGACGGTTTTAAATAGACTCATTTAACGACTATTAATATCTCTCTCAAAATCATTTATATTGCATCGTCTCTTCAGGTACGGATTACCCCTAGTCGATAATAAAATGTGCAAAGAAAAGTAAGAGTATCCAATTAGAGATGCTAAATATATATACATATATGTGGATTACTGTATATTAATGGAAGTTTACTTTTGTAGTTTTATACCGAAAAACAAACTTAAGCCGTAGGCAGATCTTTGTTTGAATTCATTAGAACCATTGAACATGAAAATAATAAACTAAAAAGTTGAAATAACAAAATAATATATTTTTTTCGTGGGTCACATTTGGATTAATGAATAAAAAAGAGAAGTATGAAATTAAGAAGTAATTTTGATGTAGCATGAATAATTGTGATTGAAAGAAAATATATTTTTTGCATTAAATAACCTAAAACTGGTCCAGTCATGTCCCAATTGGTACTATATTAAGAGTGATGGTCAATGAAGATGTTAACTTCTCATTAAACGAGACTGGTAAGGAAAATTATAAGGATGAAACCAATCAAAATAAATATCGACACAACTTGTTTATATATCGAATAAACATGATTGAAACACGATACGAACTCGCAATGACATAACTCGTTAGACACGAATTAATAAATGAAAAAGTTATAAGCAAAGTGTTCTTTGATACGAACCCGCTTCACCCGAACGATTGACAAACATAGTGTAAACCTCTCATGTCTGCGATTCATATCTTTGAATGTATCTATGAAAACAGTTACCATTGTGTTGTAACTGTTTTTATGATTCTTAAGATCGATCGGAAGTATCACAAAAGTAATAAAAATAATTACCATAACAGTGATAAAGCACCCATAAAAATTATACATTATCTGCAAAAATGATAAAACAATAAATTTATTGTAAAATGGTCCTAAAAAAATTATAAAAATACCTATTGTTTGAGTACCGTAGTCTTTACCATGCCAAGTGAAGATCAGAAGTAGGGTGTCAACTTTGACCCGTTGATACGAACCTGACACGAACGATTACAAAATTGACATGAGTATTAAATATGCATTATAAATAGTTTAGACTAATGTTTAATACTCGTAACACAATTAAATTTTTGTTTCATACGTTTTAACATGAAAATGATACGAATATCACGACATGCAGGTCACACGAACACAACACAATTGACACCCCTAAATTTAGAACCACAATTCATTATTATTAGGGAGATGTTGCGTAAATGAATTGTAATAAACCATCAATCAGCTTCTTGTGTCAATTTGACCATTAGTTATATTAAATTCTGTCAAAATCCATTGATTTTTATCTGATTTTCATATTTGATTGAGAAAGGATCCTTTATGATAACCCAAATTTCTATGATAAAAAATTTGTAAAAAAAAAGTTAGATTGAGTTTAACATGTCACGTGGTAGTTTTAAGTGGTATGCACCCCCGATGAAAAATTATCATGTTAAATACATAAATTAATTTTTTTCTATTAAAAAAATTCTAAAAAAATAATGAATGATATTATTTTTTGGAAATGTACAACTTCTGTTTGAGCATTCAAGATATATATTACTTATCCAAGCAAAGGTCATCCTTGTGTTCATGATTTGGAAAAATAGGGGATGAAATCCATGATTTGAAGAAATAACAAATGAGAAAATTAATAAGTCATACTTTTTGGAGGCGAATTACGAATAAGTCATACTTTTTTCCGATCAAAGCCATTTAGTCCTATTCTAATTTTACTAAGACAATTAAATCATATTCCCGATAGTTTACTATCAAGAAGTGCTAACTTTTTTACCCTCTAACTTTAAATCACCAAAATGTCATTTAAGTTTGGTCTAACATTCGTTACATTCATACCTACCTTGTCAACATATCAAATCAACCAAATTTGAAGCTGAATTCTATTTTGGAAATTTTAATTCGAATTTGATTCGATTATTTCATGGATTTTAATTTTAAGGTCTATATCCGAATTTATTTCAATCTTGTCATATAACATAACTTGGTCAAATATTAACATATTTAAATTTAACTTTGCAAAGAAAATAAAAATGGATTTTGTTTCAAAGTTGGATAACCGATAATTCAATACATAAACGTCTCTTGTAAGATTTAACTAGTTATACTTTCGTGTCTAAAAACATTTTACAATATCAAATATTGATAGTACAATATTTATATTTTAACTAATAGTTTTTTTTTCTTTTTAATTTTTTAATTACACAATTTAAAATTAAAGTTGAAATAACGAAATAAGAAAAAGATAGAGGAGAAAGAAAAAAAAAGAAGTAGATGTAGATTAGTGGTTTGATGACGTTGTGAAGTGTGTTGATTGAAGTATCTGACATTAGTGGTGTGCAGATAACATATGACTTTGGGCATAAATTTTTTTTTTGAATAAATTTTGAACCATTCAGTGAAGTTAGATTAATCTCAATTATTATTGTACTTTTATTAAATATATATAATTCAAATTACTAGTTTAATATTAAATAGATTTGATATATCGCCATCAGAACCATTCAACTTATGATAAATTTTACTCGCACCCCTATAGATAAGCCTAAATATAAAGATATCCCTTGCATTTTCTAAAATTTCATTGTCACTGTTTGTACCTTGAGGATAGTAATGAAAGTGACACTTTTACGTTCATACCCTTATTAAATTCATATATTTACCGGTATAACATAACATAAATCGAATTTAGTTATTCATCCTTGATTATGTTAAATTTATTTTAAATTTCACCATGATCCTAATCAATTGCATTAACTAAATCAAATTTACTTTTAAATTCAAGTGAAGTCTAATTTAATATTATAACCTCCTACTTATCTAAACAATTGTTATTTTATTTTAATAATTAATCTAATTAATTCTACCACTACAATTACAACCAATGCCATTAACACCACCATCGTGCCCTCGCCACTTTTTCTCTCTCCCCATTCGCTCTCAAATGTCAAAACTATAACTACTTTTCCTCTCTCCTTTTCCCTGTCCTTGTCCTGGTCTGGCTCGTCTGCGGTTGGAAAGTTACCGCATACCATGCAGTTTAATAAAACGTCGGCGTTTCACTTTGCTTGTTGCTTGTTGCTTTTTTTTTTTAAAAAAATTTCCTCTTACCAAAACGACGTCGTTTTGATTCTTTAAATCAGCATCAAACCCCCTCCCTTTTCTTTCTCCTGCTACTTCTTCGTCGGGTCTGGTTCTCCCACCTTGAGCTCGCCGAAAAGTCCTCAATTCCGACCGCTGGAACGTGTACAAGAACTTTCAATTAGCGAGAAAGGTGGAGAAGCTTGAAAAGAATATTTCAAGGTTCTTGCAAACTACTGTGCAAGCTCATGTGCATCATCTAAGGTTCGATTCGGCGGAGAGGTTTGATCGGCTTGAGGGTTCGGCTCGAAGGTTGGAGCAGCGGCTTGGAGCGATGAAGATGGGGGTTCATGAGGGAGGGTGGTTGGAGGAGGCGGTGAAGAGGGTGAAGGAAAAAGAGAGGTGGTACGAGGGTGGTTTGGTAAATTTGGGTGTGGGGGCAGGGATGGAGATGGCGAAGAGGAAGGTGAAGGAGATGGTGATTAGGAGGGACGATTTGGGTGTTGTTGGGATTTGTGGGATTAGTGGAAGTGGAAAGACCACTTTGGCCAGGGAGATTTGTAGAGACAATCAAATTCGCAATAACTATTTCCATATCAATTAAGGCTAAGGCTAAAGATTTAGAGAATGATATCAGGGAATTGTGTTGATGATTGCAGTGGTTTGATTCCCCAATGGCCACTAAAATATGATTTGAAGACCGTTATGCGAACACTTGTTGTTCTTGATAATGTTTGGTCTCTCTAAGTGGTTGAACAACTTATTTCCAGAGTTCCCGGATGCAAAACGCACGCAAAAATTAACCCAACATAGCAACACAAACCATATCAATACGGCTTACTGTTTGAGATTTTTAGAGCGTAGTCAGTCATAAAAAGAGAACCTTGCTGCTTGTTATATCCCAATGTAATAAGATGTTTACAGTTTAGGTCAGACCATTTGCCCACTAGCATTTCTCAAACCATTAGTAGTCACTATATCTAGTATGATTCAAATACACGTGGGATACAGAAAAAAAGAAACATAAGGCAGCAATTCCAATTTATTTAATCTTCCATGAAAGGTGCAATCAAGAACTCCCCTTTGGAAGATAGACTCAAAATTACAATTATTCCACAAAACATTAAAAGAACAAAAGTAAACGGTGATAAACCAAACTCTAAATGCAATTAGAACTTGTACCGCTCATCAGAAAAATGCAATAATTGTCTGAACAAAAACATCGGTCCAATGTCTGATTTCTTAAAAATTCTAAAATTGTAATGACAGAAGCCAAAGTCTGATTCCAAGACTTAGTAAACATGTATCAAAATCAGCATTGGAAGGACCATGGCTAGCTCAGCTCACGGTTTGCTCCCCCAGCCTCCGAATTGTGCTCCTAACTGTAACAGCACTAGCAGTGCTATTGCATTTGAAAAAGAAGAGAAACAAAACAAGAAATTAGTAGCTAGCAGTGCTATTGCATTGAAAAAAAAAAGAGAAACAAAACAATGCATTAGTAGCTCGCAAGAGAATCGGTGGGAATAAGACCAAGTCTTATTACTTCAATGTGTAAGCACCGCCTGCTTTGACTTTGCCACAATCCTTGCAGCCTCAAATACCCACTGCCTTTCTCTTCACCGCATACTGCAAACAATTACATTTTCAATTAGAACAAAAGACGCGCCCTTAAAAAAGGTAAGTGATGCACAATTGTCTAAAACTAAGCAGAATAAGGCAAAAATGCTCAGGCACCTTGGCAGCAGCCATAACCCCTTCTAAAAGAGGATTTTTTTTTTTTTGGGGGGGGGGGGGGGGTACTTAATCTCACGACTGAGGATGTGGAATTGTGGATGCAGCCAAAAATGTCTAAGAAAAGGCCTTACACAACAAAAATATTTGTGAACTTGGTAGTCCAACTTGTTGTAACTAAGAAAGGTTGTACCTTCCCACAAAATTTACAGAAGTACTTGTTGTGTTGACTAACCTCCATCTTCTTAATCTGCTTTCGCAGACTAGCCCCATAACGGGTTCCTAAAAATCGTGGCAATCAGCAAAGTGAAACCCCTAAAGTGCAAGATACAATTTGATCATCGTAATAGAACTAAGGCCATATCATAAGAAGTACATGCATTTTGAAATTCCCATAACAGGAAACTAGATAAATTAAAATCATAATGAGTTGCATATATGATATAACACAAGAAACATGTACAGAAAGTCAAGACTGTGAAAGTCAGATTCCTTTTGAAATACTAGCAAGAATGTTTTATACTTGAACTAAAACAAGTAATAAACTGAACCCTTAAAGTTGAAATCGAACTACTTAGGCATTTCTAAATTCATAAAACTTTTATCTGTGAACCTCAATTTCCATGACCTGTTTTAAGGACCTCAATCTATCATGATCCTAATTAAGCCCAATACTCAACAATACTGCACATTAATATTGCAAGAGGAATGCAACTCAAAATAATGAGATAAAATTGTACAAGAACTTTATGCCTTGGACTATTTTTAGACTAAGTGTCACATCTCTATCTGACAATTAATATCTTTAATGGAGTCAAACTTCAAATTCTCATACATAATGACAAAAGAGACAAATTTTAAACGATATTCAACATCAAAATTACATTTCTCATCCTCAGAAGCAACATTTTCTTCAAATTGGGATGGGTTGGTCTGGACAGATGCATCAATCTTGAAGCACGATTGTTAAGTGAATACATGGATGGCCAAATCACAAAACAGAATTAAATAGGCAACATTGAAACTTACCATACTTCCCTACAATACCAGCCTTCTTCGTCCTCTTGGTCTACATCAAAGCAATGGGCATTACCACAAGAGTTCTTGTTCAATCAATCCAAATGTAATGAGAAAAATAAATCTCTACAAAAGCTAAATACAACAGATGGAAAAGACTACTATGAACGACTAACAGAGAATCTGAACAGTTCACAATAAACTCCGCTGTCCCCCCAGAGGTTGTGAGGACAACCGCATTTCAGGAAAATTTCCTCTGCAACAGAGAACATCCTTATTTAAACTTATATCGACAGAGGGAACCTATATAGGAGCTTTTTTGTCGCCGAAGGTAGGAGAAGAGAGAGCGAGAGAGAGAGAGAGGAGCGCCTGAAACGAAGCCGAAGGTAGGAGAAGGATCTCAGATCTGATTTTTAGTTGGACCAAAACAACATCATTTTGGTAAGGGTTAGTAAAAAAAAAAAGCAAAAAACACAGTGAAACGCAGCCGTTTCATTAAATTGCATGTTATGCGGTAACTCCCCAACCACAGACGAGCCAGACCCCCCTGTCCCTCTCCCTCTCTCTCTTCACACACTAAATTATGGCTATGGGTACCAGAAATTGACAAACAAAGCAAACCAAACAAATAACCCTTAGAGGTGGTATAGTAATTGAGTCTCTTATTTGATAATATTGAAGTTTGATGTTCAATCCCTCTCACAATCTCTAAGTGCTAGCCACCCTTATCGCTTGGGGTATATGCTATACACTAGCTAAATTCATGGTGGTTAGCGGCTGAATTCGAGAGAATAATTAACATAAACTTGAACAGCATGTAACAAAAAAAGACAAATCAAACAAATTGATTGTCAAAATAATGACTACCAAATCACCCCTCAAAAAAAAAACCCTAAATAATTGCCACATCTTCAATTTTCAATATAAAACTATTATAGCATGTACAAGTCCAGCCTCTTAAGTGGTTTGATATTGGTGTTAATTTAAGAAAATTTAATATTAAATTGACAAAATTTTATGTCAATTTGATGAAATTAAATTTTAAATTAATGGAACTGATGACTTAAATTTCAAGTTGATGAAATTAATTTTTAAATTGATTAAATTCATTATTAATTTGGTGTTAATTTTATGAATTAAATTGATGAAATAAAATGTTAATTTGGTATTAACTTGATAAAATTAAATATTACTTAGTTGTTAATTTGATAAATTTAAATTTTAAATTAATAAAGTTAAAGGTTAATTTGATGTTAATTTAATAAAATATAATTTTAAATTGATGAAATAGAAAGTCAATTTGATGCTGGGTGAATGATATTAAATTTTAAATTAATGAGATGATGGAAGGGGAGAGGAGAGATGTCAAATAAGGAGGTACAGCAGAAACAGAAATGGTCAGATGGCGAGGTGAAAGAGAGAGTAAAATTGAGATTTTAAAATTTTATATAATAAATTATAATATAATTTAAATTTTAAAAGATAAATAAAATAATTTTTATTTTGCGGTTGATATTTCTCTAAATTTTCTTTTAAAGTTTATCTAACGATTAATATTAACACCCCAAATTTAATAGAAAAAATAGACTCATAAAAATGTGTTTGATATAACTTTTTAAAAATACTTCTAAAATTTATAATTTTCTATAATTACTTTAAAAAAAAAAGTATTTTGAATTGCTCTACCATCACCCCCATTGCCCCACTACCGTCACCCCACCACTACAACTACCTCCACCAACCCTACCACCGCCCCCACCACCCTTATTAGCACCAGCACCAGCACATCACCGTCTCCCACCACACCCACTGTTGTCCACCATTACTACCACTGCTTGTCTTAACTATAATCGATATTTAAATTTTTTTTTTTTTCATTTATTTTTGTAATTTAATTTTGGATATAAATATAAATATATTTATTATTAATTAATTTTTTTTATTAGTCTATACCGTGAAACAAGAAACATAACTATAAGAAAAATAACTAGTAATTCAATATGATATCATTACTTTTTAGTGTGTCAATAATATATGTTCACGACAGTGTTCTGTATGGAGTACACATATATGAATTAGAAGAAGTACAATAACATTTTAGAAAGGACAAAATTTTGTAGTAGGTAGATCTAGGGTAACCTTTTGGTACGGTGAAAATTTAAGGGATGGTAAGATAAAAAATAAAAATTTAGGGGACGTTAATAATTATTAAATGAATCTATTTGAAATTGTAAAATAGATTTATCAAATGATGCCATGTTTAGATTATTTTATACAGTATCATAGATACCATGTCGATTATTAGACAAAGATGTTTACCATAATCGCCTATTAGCATATAAATATGCAATGTACACTATGAGGTTTCTGAACCTTCCATGGAGAACCAAGTAAGGCACACGGCCTCTCGCTTCCTTCCTTCATCTCTCACTACCTGTCGGTCCCGAAACATATCGGACGTCATTGAAAGCTCCATCGTCCTTACTCGGAACACCAAAAATCTCCATGAACACCACCTTGTCTCTCCCAAAATACAAATCTATCCTCCATTCACCAAACCCAAAAATCCAAATGATCTCACTATTGCAAAAGAGCTCATGGAAGTTTCGAAACCCAAAACCCAGTTTTTCGATTGTAATGCTGAAAGAAGGAAGTCATTTCCCCCTGTAAAACCTTTTTCGCCATTGAAATATCGCCACAAGGAGATAAGTGGTAAAGAGACAAAGATCAAGAAAAGCTCCTCCTCCAACAGTGGGTGGTTTAGCAGTGAAGACGAAGCTGAAGATGATGGTGGCAAAACCGACACTTTTTTTAGCTTATCTTCCGGTTCTTTTGAATCTTTTCGTCGGAAAAGAA